GAGTAGAGCATTCAGTGTTAATCTGGAAGAAACCTTGGAGCTCTATTCCCATCTCGCCTCGCAGAATGCGCCGTGCGTAGATCAGATCGCCTCGGCGACGCCGATATGACAGAGAGAACATATTCAAGTGCTGGAGACGAATGTGATATGGCAGGTGTCGGAGCTCAAAGATGTACTTAGAACCGCGCCCCTGAACTTTCTCAATCAAGTCATGGTCAAACTTTGTAAGCGGATGAACTGCGGGTAATCCATATCCGAGGATTGGAAGCAAATGGAAGGAAAAAACAAGTCGGAAGATCTCCGGCGTCAATCGCGAGAAGGCTCTTCGGATAGAGCACAGTAGTCTGTTAGCCGCAGCAACCTTCCTCCAAGTATCGTGAGTAGTTTTTAGATCTGAGCATACAATAACACCAAGCTCGCTTTCCTGTTCCACATTATTAAGCAAATAACCACCAAGGCAGTAAACACCGAATGGTTCAGTAGCCCCAATGGGGAGTACAGAACATTTATCGCTATTTATAGGCAACTGCCACTTAATTGACCAATCATGCAGCCGATCCAGTGTAGTTTAGAGTCTGTCAGCATCTTCAGCATCGGTTACCTCCATCCATAACTTCAAATCGTCAGCATATGTCAAACATTCGGTCCGGAAAGTTGGAGGAAGGTGGTTAGTAAAGAATTTGAACAACTCTGATCCTAGAACAGAGCCCTGAGGAACGTCACTGCTCATAAGGAAGGGGCTGAATACGTATCATTGACCTTAACTCGCATAACTCGGTCTGAAAGGAAATTAGAGACCCATGACAGAACCCTCCCAGACGCACCAATTCCTTGAAGTTTGAACAAAAGCCGCTCATGAGGAACTTTGTTAAACGCTTTGCTGAAATCAACGTAGTTAACGTCCATAGGTTTGCCGTCATTCAGTGAGTTCGCCCATTTCTCTCTGTCAACTAACAAATTGGTGGTACACGAGCTTGACTTACGGAAGCCGTGCTGAGCAGTAGAAATCACACTCCGGTCGTCGAAGTAAAGGCTGAAAGCTCCCTTGAGAATCTTTTCCATAATTTTACACATTACCGATGTTAGGCAAAAGGGACGATAGTTTGCTGGGTCTTGGCGATTCCCTCCCTTATATATGGGCTTGATCATGCCCAGCTTCCAGGCTGATGGAAGGCTTCCGAATTCAATAGAGCAACGAAACACATCACAAGCTGGGGCTGCAATGTACTTAGCCATGGTCATGAGAAACGGTGCGTGCAGGCCATCAGGACCAGGTGAGGTGTTCGGATCTAACCGGAGAAGGTGCTGCGTAATCTTTTCCGTACTGATCTCAAGATGATCCAGCAAATAGGAGTACGAGAGTACTACGTCAGAAAACGAAGTTTCATTTGTAAAAACGGATGAATACTGTTGGGCTAAGAGATTCGCTTTCGCAGCATCCTCATGAAATAAGGCAACGTATTCACTGGAATACAGAGATGGAATACCATTACCACCTTTGGTGCCGCTTTTCAGATATGAGAACATTTTGGGGGAGCACCTGGACTGCACAGCCAATTGAAACTCGTAGTTTTGGCGATTCTCCCGCTTCTTCAGGATACAAAGGTTCCTAAGTGTTTGTATTCCAAGTAGTGTCGTCAATTGTATACACTTGAATCGGTCCCATAATTTGCGTCTTTTGTTCATCAGAGACCTCAACTGTTTGTCAATCCAAGGAGGACCTCTTGTTAGAGCTCTGTTTTAGAAATGGGAACAAGCTGGTTGATTAACGACAACCTTTTGGAGCAAAAGTGAGTCCAAGCATGGTCAACACTCAAAAAATGAGGAATGGTCCAGTCCATGTTAGAAGCAGCCTCCAACAGACGCTGCGGATCGGCTCGCCAGAAATTACGCCGAAAATCACCTTGGTTATGAATAGAAAATCGACGTGCCCATTGGAAGGAAATAGCACAGTGGTCACTCTTACCAATAGATTGCATAACAACCAGGTCGGTGACATCTGACGGCACCGGCGATAGCACTAGATCAAGAATGTGCGGCATGTGGCCTGAGAACAACCGAGTGGGTGAAAATACATGCCGAAACAAGTTACAATCGAGAACGGTCTGAAGGAGGAGAGCATCAAAAGAGTCAGAAGGAGAACTACAATAAAGCAAGTCCCACTCAATGCCAAGTGAATTGAAGTCTTCAACAATTAAGCAGTCCTTACCTTTGGCCTGCGATTTAACTGAATCCAGCAAAAGAGCTCCTGAACCCAAGGGAGACCTATAGGCGACACATACCAGGCGAGATCTACACCTGTCATGAATACGACACCACAGAGCTTCGAAGCCACCATCTATATCACAAGTAGCATCAAGTAAATATGCCTTGAGATTCGCCCTCCAATAGAGTATAACGCCACCGCCTGACCTCGCTCCGTAGCGATCAGCCCGGGAGAAGTGATATCCAGGATATATACTTCCGAGTCACCGATGTCCACGTCTCAGAAAAAGCCATCAAATCAGGGTGATTATCGATGGCAAGAAATTGAATCTCATCCAATTTGTTCCGCAAACTGCGCACATTAGCGGACAACACCTGCAAACCGTTCTTCGACCTTACTGTCCGGGTAGGACAAGGGTGGGTCTCCAGCGAGCTCAGAGTTTTCCGAACCACTCGAAAATCCACAATGTGAAGGTCCGTCTCACCATTTGCCCGGCGGGTTCGAAGTTCATCAACTGCACCCTTCATTGTTATCCCATCCTCAGGGGACAGACCTATCAGAATATAAACGATTCTCCTTTAAGACGCGAAGTGAGTCGGAGAATGCGCCTGCATTCATCTTCATTTTGGCATACGATCTTGAGAGGGCGAGATTTTGTAGAGTCCTCCTGCTTCCTGCTAATGCGAAAGGCAGAAAAAACATTTATCCCTGGTTCACCCTCATAAAACAACAGTGAAATCATCCTTTGTAGAAAAGCTTCATCATCTAGGATCCTTTCAGCTGGCATAGCTTTAGAAGACTCCGGCGAATTTACCACTATAAGGCAGCTGTCACGAGAGGGACGATAGGAGTCCCTAGATACCAGCTGCTTAGCAGAAATCAATTTGTCCTAAACCAAATTCTCCAATTGAGTAACTCTATCAAGAAGTTTTTAACTTCCAATTGCGAAGTGGGCTTACTTATCTACACGCACTTAATTTGTCAAAATGGGAAACTGCGTATCTGTGCCTATACCAGTGACAAGCGGCTTCATCATTGTATCATTGTATGGTAGAGAGCAGAAGGAGAGTCCTTTATCAGCTCCGTCGCTTCTCAGTCATTGCGGACGTTGCTGGGGTCACTGCGAAAATAGAGTTATGCAATGCACCGGGAGTTAGACTCTAACCAATGACGGAAATTTAGTTATAGCCCAAAGTGAAATGGGGCAGCAGACATCAAGAGGGCAATCGCAAGATTTAGGAATTAATTATTGTGTTAATAATAAAAAGGAATGCACTGCACATGTTTATAAAGTGGTACAATAATGTAACGTTTGTAGTAAAATAGTTTACAGTAACAATGTTAACATATCCCCGAAAATTCCAAGAGGAGTAATTGCAGCGAAATACTGATGTTTCAAGTGTTTGTTCAACAGTGAAATATCTTAGTCTAGTAAACTGAAGCCTATTTCAAGTATCCTATGAATGAAAATGTGCTGAAACGTTATGGGAAATGTATAATTCAGTCTTACCTGGCATGGTGTGTTGTAATTGTTCGTTGGTGGTGAATTCTTATAAAATATCCTTTGCTGCAACGGGAAATCAGGGAATCTGCAATGTGAAAAAAAATTAAATGGTTCTGAAATATGAAACGAAAATGGTTAGATGTTGAATGTTAACCGGTGAAGTAGATCGAGAAGCCATATGATTTTTAAATATGCAAATGAAATGGATGAACTTGTACAATCCGTATGAGTATACAGAACTAGATAACAATTGGCATAAATCAGTAGCTGAAAAAGCGACAAGGGTAATGTGAAGTCATAAGAAGTGGACAGCTGTACACTGTGTTAAATTCATTTCGGATTAATAATATCCCGGCCATTCAATAGGCATCTTGCGCAAACGCGTTGTAAATGGAATGATAAATAGCAATAGCCTGATGTTTAATGCACAAACGTAAGGGTATATCTAATGATGTAAAACTGCAGGTAAAAAATAAATACCAGATATTGCATGTAGTATGGATATAAGTATAGCGTCCATATATATATATATATATATATATATATATATATATATGAAAAGCCATGCTAACACGTACATATATTTAGACGTATTTTTTATTAATGGAATGTATATGTTTGTAGTTGTAGTGTAGTGTCGTTGCGGGTCCGTCAAAAATCCCCGCAAAAACGCGCCAGAAACCCCGGCAGAATGGCTGTGGAAAGCGAGGTCCAATTCCTCCCCACAACGCAGCAGAGCTCAGCCACTCCGAGCCGCGTCCCAACTACGCCCCTTTTGACAATGGCCTTTTACAAACTACCACCTCGTCATGGTAGAAATTTTCCCTTACTTAATAACCCATAGCATCGGCTGTGATCGCCCTTTGTCGGTCGTAAAAGAGCCTACAGAGGACCACTTGCCTTTTCTTTCTCTTCGCCTCAGTTGGGAGTCGGTCGGGTCACGTGATTGCGTGTGAGTCGTTAGCTGGCCAGCCTTCGCGTCTAAGTCATTAGCGCGCGTCTATCATAACCCCCTCTCGTGTGCGTCCGTTTCCGAGGCCTCAGCGTCTATCCGAACAAGTGCGGCTAGGATCGTTCACACGCTCGCTCAATTTTCCGTCTCACCGGCTAAGCTAGCGTCATCAGGTCAGCGCAACTCCGTTCGAGTGGCCAGCGTTACAAGTCGTCATCGTAGGCGTGCTCCAACCGTGCGAGCGACAATCTTGTCACGCAATTATCTCAAGAGGCGGCGTTCCCTCAATTATAACAGTGGCGACGCAATTATAACAGTGGCGACAGAGTTGACGAACCATGACTGACGAATATGCCGATTTAAAATTGATGCTGCAGCAACAGCTTAAATTGATGTCCGTGCTAACCGAAAAGCTTTCCAGTTCTTCCCTTCGTGCAGGTCCGAGCGCCAATTCTCAGTCATTGGACCATGTGGTTAGCGGCATCAGCGAATTCCTGTACGACGCCAAGGCCGGGGTAACGTTCGAATCCTGGTACAAGCGGTACGAGGACCTGTTCACCGTTGACTTGGCTTGCCAGGACGACGCGTGGAAGGTCCGCCTGCTTCTGCGCAAACTTGGTACCCTCGAACACCAGCGCTACACCAATTTCATCTTGCCGAGGAACCCACGGGACGTTACCTTTGACGACACGGTCCGAACGTTGTCACAGATTTTTGGCGAGCAGTCCTCCCTGTTCAATGCTCGTTACCAATGTCTGCAGCTGGTCAAACGTGATGCCGACGACTTCATCACGTACGCGGGCGTGGTCAACCGTGAATGCCAACGTTTTCAACTTGGCTCGCTCACCGAGGACCAATTCAAATGCCTGATCTTCGTCTCTGGCCTCCAGTCTCCACACGATGCCGATATCCGGACGCGCCTCCTGTCCAAGCTACAACAGGATAGCTCAGTCACACTCCAGAACCTGGCCGAGGAGTGTCAAACGCTGCTCAACCTGAAGCACGATTCTGCAATGATCCAGAACGCCGCCGCACCTGGTATGGTCCAGGCAGTCACAGCACCGAGGGCGCAATCGTCCGCGCGCCCCACCCAATCCGACCGAGCGAAGTCCCCACCCTACGCGTGCCGATTCTGTGGTGCCTGGCATTTCCACCGCGACTGCAAGTTCCGCCAGCATCGTTGTCAACGTTGTGGCAGGGTGGGGCACCGGGATGGTTACTGCCATCCTCCATCTCCCAAGGGGGCCAAAACTGGGCTGGCCCCCACCCGCGATCCAAAGAAGAGGTCCCGACCCAGACGCACACCCAAACCTGGTCCGGTTGGCAGCTCCCTGAGCCTGCTGGCCACGTTCCAAATCAACGCTGCGGATCGGAGAAAGTTCGTCGACGTCCTGATCAACGGTCAGTCGGTCCGATTGCAGTTGGACACTGCGTCGGACATCACGATCATCTCCGAGGATCTCTGGCGATCCCTTGGCAAGCCACCTTTCGAACCGACCTCCCAATCTGCCACCAGCGCCTGTGGTGGTCGCGTGCAGCTAACTGGGCAGCTGCACTGCTCCGTCTCCTTCCGGGGCGCCACGTTCAACGCGATCTGCTACATCACAAAGGCGAAGCTCAACCTGCTTGGTCTCGACTGGCTCGAAACCCTTGGCTTGGCCGATCTTCCTCTTCGGGCCATCTGCAATGCGGTACATTCTCCGACAGTACCAAACGATCGAACCGCCGACATCATCAGACAGTTCGCCCCGGTATTCCAGGATGGTCTTGGCCGCTGTACACGCACCCGCGCCGCGTTACAGCTTGTACCTGGTGCTCAACCGGTATTCCGTCCCAAAAGGCCTGTCCCATACGCAGCCTTACCCTTGGTCGATGCCGAACTCCAACGTTTGGAAGACATGGGCGTCCTGGTGCCTGTGTCCTATTCCGCCTGGGCAGCGCCGATCGTCGTGGTCAAGAAGCCGAATGGATCCCTCCGCATCTGTGCCGATTTCTCCACTGGTCTCAACGCAGCACTAGAGCCAAATTGCTACCCGCTACCGATCCCAGCCGATCTCTTCACGATACTCAACGGTGGAACCTGTTTCGCTAAAATCGACCTGGCAGACGCCTACCTGCAGATCGAGGTCGCCCCTGAGTCACAAGCCCTCCTGACGATCAATACGCATCGTGGTCTTCTCCAGTACACCAGACTCCCATTTGGTGTCAAGACGGCTCCAGCTATTTTCCAACAGACAATGGACGCTATGATCTCTGGTATTCCGGGTACGGCCGCGTACCTGGACGATCTACTCATTGTTGGTCGCACCCCAGAAGAGCTACGAGAGCGCCTGGCTGCAGTCCTTCAACGGGTCCAGGAGTACGGTTTCCGCCTGAAACCTGAGAAATGCCAATTCTTCCTTCCGTCGATCAAATACCTTGGTTTCGTTTTCGATGCCCATGGCCGTCATCCTGATCCTGAGAACGTCAGAGCCATCCAGCAGATGCCAGCTCCAGCGGATGTGTCACAACTGCGGTCCTTCTTGGGTCTTATCAGCTACTACAGCGCCTTCCTGCCATCGCTACACGATGTTCGAGCCCCGCTCAATCGGTTGTTGCAGAAGGACGTTCCTTGGCACTGGTCCCCCGCATGCGAAAAAGTTTTCGTTCGCCTGAAAGCCATGCTGAGTTCTGATCTACTGTTGACCCATTACGACCCAGCCTTACCGATTTTGGTCGCTGCTGATGCTTCTGCCTACGGGATCGGAGCAGTTCTCTCCCATCGATTCCCAGATGGCTCCGAGAAAGCTGTTATGCACGTCTCCCGCACCCTGACGCCTGCGGAGAAGAACTATGGTCAGATAGAGAAGGAAGCCCTTGCCATTGTCTTTGCCGTCACCAAGTTCCACAAGATGCTGTATGGCCGACGGTTCACGCTACTGACCGATCACAAGCCCCTACTTTCAATCTTCGGTTCAAAGAAGGGCATTCCGGCATACTCGGCTAGTCGACTTCAGCGTTGGGCGGTCATCCTTCTTGGTTACGACTTCGAAATCCGCTACTGCCGTACTCAGGATTTTGGTCAAGCCGACGGTCTCTCCCGCCTCATTTCCAAACATGCCGCAGTAGAAGACACAGTGATTGCCGCTGTAACCGTCGAGGACGACGTTCGTTATCAACTATCGAACGCTATTCGAAGTCTCCCTATCACTGCCGCCGACATACGTCGTGCAACTGCTCAAGACCCTGTCTTGCAGAAAGCCGTCACTTACGTTCAGACGTGCTGGCCAAACACTACCTTGTCTGGTGAACTCAAACAACTGCATCAACGCCGCGACTCCCTTTCCGTGGTCGATTCCTGTCTCATGACTGCAGATCGAGTTGTCGTTCCTTCATGTCTCCGGCAAGCTGTACTCCGCCAGCTCCATTCTGCTCACCCCGGTATGAACAGAATGAAGGCAGTTGCCCGCAGTTATGTGTATTGGCCTGGCATTGACAACGACATTCAAGATTTGGTCCGCCGCTGCTCACGATGTCAACAAGCATGCAAGATGCCACCACACCAATTACCGGTCCCTTGGCATCCGCCAGCAAAACCGTGGTCTCGAGTGCACATCGATTACGCTGGTCCCATCGATGGCATTTCCTATCTGGTCGTGGTCGACGCCTATTCCAAATGGCCAGAAGTGGTCGCCGTCAACCCACCAACCGCATCCGCCACTCTGGCTTGTCTCCAACGAATCTTCAGTCAACATGGCCTTCCCGAGGTCTTGGTGTCCGACAATGGTACCCAGTTTACGTCTTCCATCTTCGAAGACTTTTGTCGCCGACACTGCATCGAACACCTCCGCTCACCGCCTTACCATCCCCAATCCAATGGTCAAGCGGAGCGATTTGTCGACACATTCAAGAGGGCGCTTTTGAAATCTCGCGGGGAGGGGACCGTGGATGAGTGTCTTCAAGCCTTCCTGCTCTCGTACCGGTCCACACCGAATCCAGCTACGCCAGAATGCCAGTCACCAGCTGAAGCATTGATGGGCCGCAAGCTACGCACCACCAACGAAGCGCTCATTCCGACTGAGAAGCCACCTAGTCACTCTGGTGCCAGCAACAAGCATAAAGAATTCGTCGTTGGAGCCCCGGTCTACGCTCGCGATTACCGAGCAGGTCATCCTCGCTGGATCAAAGCAACAGTGACGGCCAGGCGAGGTGACATGCTGCATGATGTCTCCGTAGGTGATGACACCTGGGTTCGCCATCGCAATCAACTTCGTCCGCGCCACGAAGAAACCTCCATGCCAGCCAGCCATCCCGTGCGCCTGCCGCTGCACATCCTGCTGGATACTTTCGGATTGGCCACACAACGACAGAGCACGGTCGAAGCCGCTCAATCGTCGCCGCATCTGGAGAACCTGCCTTGCCGACGAACAGAAAGAATCCGGAGGTCACCGAAATCCCTCCAGGTCAATCCTCGCCAGAAGCGGTACGCTCTCTCTTCAAAGGGAGGTGTTGCGGGTCCGTCAAAAATCCCCGCAAAAACGCGCCAGAAACCCCGGCAGAATGGCTGTGGAAAGCGAGGTCCAATTCCTCCCCACAACGCAGCAGAGCTCAGCCACTCCGAGCCGCGTCCCAACTACGCCCCTTTTGACAATGGCCTTTTACAAACTACCACCTCGTCATGGTAGAAATTTTCCCTTACTTAATAACCCATAGCATCGACTGTGATCGCCCTTTGTTGGTCGTAAAAGAGCCTACAGAGGACCATTTGCCTTTTCTTTCTCTTCGCCTCAGTTGGGAGTCGGTCGGGTCACGTGATTGCGTGTGAGTCGTAGCTGGCCAGCCTTCGCGTCTAAGTCATTAGCGCGCGTCTATCATAACCCGTGTGCGTCCGTTTCCGAGGCCTCAGCGTCTATCCGAACAAGTGCGGCTAGGATCGTTCACACGCTCGCTCAATTTTCCGTCTCACCGGCTAAGCTAGCGTCATCAGGTCAGCGCAACTCCGTTCGAGTGGCCAGCGTTACAAGTCGTCATCGTAGGCGTGCTCCAACCGTGCGAGCGACAATCTTGTCACGCAATTATCTCAGAGGCGGCGTTCCCTCAATTATAACAGTGGCGACGCAATTATAACAAGTATAGTGTGTGACATATTAGGAAATGTGATAACGCATCCGTTGATCGGTAAATGCGGGTGCCTCCATATGTAGGGAGACATCTTTGTTCCTTTGTATGTCAGCACTGATAATCATCGTAAGGCATAACAACTGGCCATCCGCATACTTGTTGCCCCATGCATTAGCCGACTGCAATGAAACCTCGGATGGGCAACGTACACTAAACCTTTTCCAAAAGTTAATTTCTATTATCCAAGCGGAAATCCACTCACGGTGTCACATTGGTAGAGCACTGAATAATTTCATGGGTAATAATTTTTAGGATAATGTACGCCGATTGTTTAAGGGAGCCTATGGTCCTTATAGCATTGCTTTGCGTAGTACTACACATATGAACGCCGTGTGGTGAATTTTTATTGGGCGAAAATGAAGCACTTGCAACACAACGGGTAACTTACCGAGGATACCAGGCAACCACTAATTAATTTCACGGTGAAAATGCTGAATGGAATGCAATTGGAAGCGTTGCGCATGACTAACAACGTCCACAGCAAAGCGAGACATATGTATTATTGGGACTGCTTTCCTTGGGTGTGAGAAAAGACATTGGAACCATATGCGACTACTGTTGTCTGAGTTGGGAGTGTTGGAAGTGCTCACAAGCCGCAAAGCGGCGATACTGGAAAATGTTTTGTGGTTTTCGGCCACGGCATAGAAGGCCTATGCTTAAGAACGGGAAGTGTAATAGAGCGGTAGAGAATGTGGTCTACAATTACGGACCCACTCACTCAACTAGTGGCCAATTAGTGCGGCGCATTCACGCAAATGAGTGGGCACTACTGGCTAGTAAGGATGAACCACAAGGTGACACTGGTGACACTGGAAAGGTCCTTTGGGTGATTCCCGAATTAACGGGAAAGCGGAGACGGTTAACAGTGCGGACTAACCAGGGACATGGGAACGTCGTGACAGGCAGTTGTGATACCTGAGTACCGGTTATGCTATAGGTGGAGTGGGCTGTAAAGTACGGAAGCATAGGCGGGCATGGTTACTCTGAAAATTAGTAGATTGGAGCAGCACCACTCACCTGTAAACATGGGTGGCACTGCGGTGTGGTAGACGAATGAGAGCGTATAGCATGCGGGCAAGAAGGTGGGCAAGTGGCGCGGTAGACAAAGTACTTCAAAATAAATGTGAATCAGGTACCTGCACACTTACATTTTCCCATATGGTCATTTATTGGAGCATACATGAATAAGGTACAGGGATGCAGCATATTGCAATTTGCCGGGGGACAGGTAGGTAAGCTGGTGAGCAAGAGGCGCGGGGACGTGGTGCTGTATAGTTTGATATTAATGCCAACGTGGCGGGTGCTTAGTACGCCTATATAAGCCTATATAACTGCCGCAGATGTGACATTTTTGTGGGCACTCAAGGAGACTCTATTGGTTACCTCGCCTACATGAGCAGTACACGGAGAAGTATTATAGGTCCCGTAACAGGTGCGGCATGCTCGCAAATTAACTGGTATCCATTTTGACTTCAATAGCGTAAGCCTATGTATGTCACACAGAGGGACATTAATATTGCCGGTAGCTCTACGAGCCTCCATAAACGGTGGTTACTTAGTCCATGTGCCTCCCAAGATACTGACATCAATATTAACACGAGCTAAGCCTCTAATATTGGTTCCACATGCCTTAAAGACGTATTCGTAGTTATCCAGCATTTGCCCCACAGTATCTGTTTCAATATGGCGACTAGCGTAGGGGATATTGTTGGCTCCACAGACGTTCGCGACTGGCGTTTATTGAGCCCATGTTGGCTGCAAAGAGGTTTCATCATTACTACCGCTCATCAAACATATTTGTGCTTCACACGCATCCATGAACCTTGTTTACTGTGCCCATGTAAGTCCTTTGTCAGCTGCATCAACATCGTTACTATGGAAGTAGCAGCTGTTTGCTTCACATACCTCCCTGACGGGCATATGTTGGTCCTAAACCGGCGACATCCAAATTTCCACTGACAATGTATCCACTCTAGACACGGCGCGCCTCCACCAGGAATATTGACTGAGGGCATGTAAATCCCATAGCGGACGTCATTATCCCTATGAGCGAAGCCACTGACTTAGGCTAAAGTGGTGCTTCAAGAAGCATGCATTGAATGAGTTTTATCAATGTCACTGATACAAGGTATAAGCGTGTCATACGTAATTTCATTTTTGGGTCGTGGAATGCATATGTTTGACATCCCTTTCCCTGCATAATTGTAGAAGGGCCGCTTCCCAGAATGCCTCGGGGGAGCTCTTCGGAGCTAGCTGAGAGCGGATCGAGAAGGACGGCTAGTGACGAGCCTGGGCCCGGAACTACGGAGCGGGAATGTGTGGACAGCGCAATAAATCAGACATATACGCCGCTAGCGCAGCCCACAGGACCGACGCCGAGCCGATTGACACAGCCCAGAACAAGCAAGTCGAGAGCTCTCGAACGACTCCTGGCCGATCCAAATCGGGTGCAGAGAAGCGGAGATCGAGGCGAAAACAGGAAGGCAGATCTTCCAAGTCAGAGCTCCCGAGGCGAAAGGACTGGCTCGCCTCTAACATCCGTACCTGTGTTGCGTGGTGGGACGGAAATCTAGTCGATATTCGATGGTGCGCGCGAGACCCTGATGTGCCCATTTTCGGTGTGCAATAAACGTCTACCCCCTGTCTTGTCGTTCTCGCTACATAATCACTAAAATATAACATAATCACCGCAACATGTTTATGAGAGGGAAACATGCCATGAGATTCTAGGAGGATGTCTGTACCGATTCCAAATATTCACGTCATTATGTGGAGCGGTTTCTGCGTTTTTGACCCACAACGCGCAAGCACTGAGGGATGGTTTATGGTAAATTGTGCCACTAACAGACATGAAAGCGATATGCTACCGTTAACTAGAAATTTATCTTACAGATTCAATTGGCACCCATGTTGTGCAAATCCAGGTAGTCGGGCTGCATATGTCACAACATATATGTCCAGTGGATGATTATCTGTAAAAAGGAAAAGACGATGGGTTTGGTGAGAAGCACATGTTCAGGTATCGTAGCTGCGATGCAGGAGTGCAACCAGGCTCACAGCAAACGGTAGGCGTATGTAATACAGGGGCTGTTTTTTCGTGGATCTAAGGAAATACCCTCGGAACCATTGTCAAATATTGTCGTCCAAGTGGTGAGCGTTCGAATCGCTGTAAATAGTAGGGGGATTTATTAGGTTTTTGTGTAGATTCGTCGCAGTTAGACATAGG